ATGATTATTAATTTATCTATTTTAATATTGTTTCAACTTTTCTGTTTCGTGTGAAGATTGAATTGGTGAAAATTAATGTTTAATTTCACTGCACCGTTGTTCATTCCATTTATGATGTATTATGTTATTGCGTTCCTTCTTCATGTACTTTACTTGGTTACAAAGTACGGTGACCGCACAGGAAATGTTATGTTAAATACCAAGATTGTACAATATTTATTTATATGGTTTGCCGCTTTATGGTTGAGGGTACCAAGCAGCGCAGACTTTGGCACTTTATTGCCAGCGCGTTTCGTTACGCGCTCTGAGTCATCGCCTGGGCACAACTGATAATAACAGTACAGTACAGAGTACAGTAACCTATCATTTGAGCCCTGACGATGCTATGGCTTGCGTAGGGAAACGCGTTGACAGTAAAGTGCTAAATCTGCGTTGTTTGGTGCCGTCAACAATGAAGTGGGAAACCACCCGCAATTTTGTAATGGACATAGAATTGGCAATGTTGTCATATATTTACTGTGTAATACAATTTAGCAGTTGTTGTTAGTTAAAGATTTGAGAACATTATTCTCTTTTCAGGTAGAGAGATGTCATTTTGGGCATTTAGGGATAAATTGAGGATAAACATATAAAGTGGCTCAAATTTTCTCTCCCTGTGTTTTGTAATGAAAATCTTTTTCTCATAAATAAGTTTACGTCAAAGAATATAATACTTGTTTTCGTACTAGGTCTGTAAAGTCTACTTTGCCACAACATGCTTTAATCTTGAATGTCCAGATCTTATCGATTATAATTGGCGACAGCAGCAACAATTGGCTGATCTTTCTTCTAATTGACGAGGATCACCGTTGCCTAGTCTCGATGCCCACATTCATCTGTCTCGTGGGAGTTTTCTCCACAAGCTTGTATATTACTTTTACTTCATCGTTCCATCTGAGGCTGGGTCATTCAGTTGGACGCTTGCAGCTCATTTGAATACCAATTAGTCACTATTAAAGTGTATGGGTCATCCTTTAGTCATGTGGTATGATCTGCCGCCTACTGTCGCTTTCTTTCTTTTAAAACTGACGCAACGTCCTTCATTCCGTGCATCATCTTTTTTTTCATTTCACCTGTTTTCCTTGATGGAAATTCCTAGCAATCATCTTTCCATCGCCCGCTGCTACATTCTCTAACGTTATTCATCCATTTTACTTAATGCCCAATTATCGCTACTACATAGAGCTGTTGGCAGTACCGTGCTTTTATACAAAATGGTTTTAACCGAAATTGATAATTTTATGTTTTCAAAGATGTCAGCGTTTCTTCTGCATGTACTCCACGTCGCACGATGCCTTCTAGCAAGCTCTAAACCAAAAGATCGCTCTGAGGCGCACAGCCATCTTGAACATACTCAATGCGGTCTTCTATTTTGTAATCATTGATCATTACTGTAGGTGGTTTTGGGATTCGTTTTTTGTGCAGAGTTCAAGTTGCTTACTTATTAATGCTAGCTCATGCGGCGTGGTTTCAACTTCTTTCGCTTTCATCTCTAACTGGACGAAGACGTCAGCAAATCGAACTTGAGTGAGCCACCCGCTATTGATTAAAAATCCTCTATCCCGTTTTATTTTGAGGAATTCTGTCATCGATTATCATAATGCATGTATTTTATATTACACAAAAATTATCGAGAAACATATTTTTGTTAAATCATTGTATAAACGGGTACAATTCATAAGCATTAATGCTGCATCATTGCTTAAGTATTTTGTTGCAGTGTTATAATGGTACGTATGTTTGCAGGAAGCAGATATCGCGTATTTTATGACTTCGGTTTCGTCTCACTTGACATAAGCACGATGCGCGCAGAAGATTCGGGAGTTTACACTTGTTGGGTTCGAAATTCCCTAGGTGAAGCGTACTCACAAGCGCAGGTTAATTGTACAGGTATGCCTGATAGGTTGCTACTTGACTAAAGGCTGACTTTTATCGTTTAGCCAAATCAGCCATTCTTTCGGCCACTTGTCATCCGGCTAGCGTAGACCGCATCGTTCAGCTGGAAACACCGAAAGTTCAAGCGGAGGCCAAGGAAGAAGTTATCTTGGACGCTCCAAAATTTGTCAAACTTTTGCCGACCGAAGTTCAGGTGAAAGAAGGTCAAACTGTTCATTTCGAATGTCAACTGATTCCCGCCGATGACCCGAACCTTAAAGTCGTCTGGCTCTTCAACAATCGCCAGTTAGAAAGTGCTTCGAGAATTCAGATCGCGAACGACTTTGGATTCGTATCTATGAACATGCTTTACGTCTACCCCGAGGACTCCGGCGTCTACACGTGTTTAGCACGTAATAAAAACGGCGAAGCGTCCTGCAGTTGTACGCTGTTCTGTGCCAGCCGAAGTAGTATGCAGCTGGACAGCTACCACCCGGACTCGTTGAAGCGGATCGAAGAATTGGAACGGCCGTTGCCTAAACCAGAAGTGCCAGAGGAGCTGTGCGTACAGAAGCCGTCATTTACGGCTCTGTTGCCCAGTGGCTTTGACAACTTGATCGAAGGACAAACGTTACACCTGGAATGCCAGGTGGAGCCTATGGGTGATCCAAAACTACGCATCGAGTGGCTGTTCAATGACCAACCGCTGCCTGCCAGTCATCGCCTTCGAATGGTTCACGAACTGGGCTACGTTGCGCTGGAAATCCTGTACGTCTATCCGGAAGATTCTGGCAAATACACGTGCCGTGCTATCAACGACAACGGCGTGTGCGAAACCGTTTCATATCTGAAGTGCTACGGACGACACCACATCATTACCGAATCGCACCAGCCCGAAAGCTGGCGCAAGATCAAGCTGATGGAGGAATCGCAGCCGGCGGTGTCTAAAGAAGTTGAGGTACCAATGGGCAAACCGAGCTTTGTCCAAGAACTGACCGGGCCCACAAGTCTAAAGGAAGGCCAGTCGGTACATATGCATTGTCAGGTTGAGCCGTCCAATGATCCAAAGCTGAAAATCTCATGGCTCTTTAATGGAATACCTCTGAAAGAGGGTTCAAGGTTCAGAACGATGTGTGATTTCGGATGCGTGTCACTCGAAGTGCTGTACGTTTATCCGGAGGACACCGGCACGTACACCTGCGTTGCCCGTAACGAACAGGGCGAAGTGCACAGCTCACTCGCTATCGAATGCAGACGTACGTTGAGGCTTCACTTTTCAATTTGGACAAATTTGGTTAATCGTCCGTTTATTATTTTCAGCTCTGAGGTCTCTCTATCTCGAGTCTCAGCACCAGGATAGCTGGCAGCAAATACAGCAGATCGAGGCGCCTCCTGAACCCCGACCTCCTTCGCCCGAACGACAGTTCCAACCTCCCGCTTTTACGCAACCACTGGTTAGTGTTGAGAACTTGAAGGAAGGTGACAACGTCCGACTTGAGTGCCGTTTGGAACCGGCCGATGATCCGAGCATGAAGATCGTCTGGACACGTAACGGTCAACCAATTCCTCAAGGTGAACCGTGCTCCGTATAGCCCAAGAATCAGTCTTTGATTCAGTGAGGTTTCAGGCAGTCGCTTCCGGCCTACACACGACTTTAATTACGTTGCATTGGAAATTTTGACGATCTACGCCGACGACTCGGGTGTGTACTCGTGCAAGGCTACCAGCGCCTTTGGCAGTGCGGTGACATCGTGCACAATTAAGTGTCAAGGTATGATCAGTAGACCGTTGTTGATTCTTGCTTTCATAGAATTATAGTGTTCACTTCCTTTTAGCGTCAAGCAGCCTTCTTCTTGAAACTCAGCATGAAGACAGCTGGCAGAAAATACAAGAGATCGAGATGAAGCCAGTAAGAGAGGAGATAGTCGAAGAGGTAGTGTTCAACCGTCCCACGTTTGTGATTCCGCTCAAAGAATATCCTCCTGTAATGGAGGGCGCTTCCATTCATCTGGAATGCCAGGCAGAACCGCAGAACGACCCTAATATGGTCATAGAATGGTATCACAATAATCGGCTGCTGGCCAGTGGCCATCGTTTCCGCGCCGTTCATGACTTTGGGTACATCTCGTTGGACATACTCTACTGCTTCCCGGAGGACAGTGGACAATGGTCCTGCAAAGCACGGAACAAGGCTGGCGTTGCGGAGACGTCGGTGCAGTTACAGATAGCCAGCAAGAGTAGCATTATACTTGACCCGAATCATCCAAGCAGCTGGCAAAAAATCCAAGAGATCGAGGCTCCCAAAGCGCCGGCTCCGGCCCCATCCGAAGTAGCTTACGGCGCCCCGACGTTCACACAGCAGCTTGAGAACGTCGAACGGCACGAGGGCATGCCCGTTCATTTCGAATGTCGTTTGACGCCGGTGAACGACGCCAGACTCAGAGTCGAATGGCTGTACAACGACAAACCGCTGAGGATGAGCAACAGGATGAAAATGACTTTCGACTTTGGCTATGCTGCGTTAGACATCGCTTACGCAAACGCCGAAGATTCTGGCACCTACAAATGTCGTGCTATCAGCCCTCAAGGCAAAGCTGAAACCTCCGCCACATTGGTCGTTGCAGGTATGATGTCCAGCAAAGTATTTGCTATATGTTTGTAGTGTCATTTTCCTTGGCAAGGCAAATACGAATATCTAAGTATAGTTGTATGATATGCAGTGAAGTTAATTCCGAATTCAAATAGTGCACTACCCGTCTTGAACTATTTTCTTAATTGATGGTAGGAAAGTTAATAATGTTTTATTCAACAGTCGATGCGTTTCGTTACCAACGCAGGTAGCATGATCAGGATTAAGGAAATTGCCGCCAAGTCAACAGTTTGACATCATAACGTATCGTTAATGACATAATCCTTTGAGATAGTAATAATCTTTGTACCAGGTTACTCACTCACTACATCCTAGCCTTGACGAATATCGACTGGTACAGAATAGTCATTGCACATTAGGCCTTTTGGTGCCAATATCTGAAGGCACTCTGTAATTAACTGCCTTAACTTGGTGTCGTCCCGGTCAATTATCGAAACGCTCATTTCGCAGACGCTGGGTCCTTCATAAATGGCAGGGTATGCTGTGCCGATTTATTCTACATGGTAGATGTGGATTGTGGACAGTCGTTCTTTTACTCTGATATTAAGCCATCGGTAGGTCTTGGCTATTAAAATTCTATCGCAATCAATATGACTTATTTCATATTGAGGGCTTCCGCAGGATTGGTAGGAAGGTTTTTTTTATTGAAAAGAACATCCTCGTGTCAGGTCATTTTTGGAATAAGTCCTAAATCAGATTTTTGAGTATTTCTTGCTGGTGAAATGGAAACAATTATAGGTCTTCTTTTTGGTGGTATGCCAGAGTTAAAGCTGGTACACAGCAGTTCACTATTTGCCCATGTGCGTATGTAAGAGGTTTCATGAAAGATTAATTTCGACGTTCAGGCCTTTACCAGTGTTGTACATTGCCTCTGCGCTATGACATATTCGTCAGCTTGTTCCCAAATGATACAGAGGGATCTCAGGAGTTTGGGTGGAGACACCCATTGGATAGAGTTGATTTCGGTAACCGGAAAAAACTCTCAGCAGTTTATTAGATTACCACTTTCTAAACGCACCTCCAAGAATCCAAAAATGGTAGTAGTTAGTGCGTTTGGTGATAAAGTTCATGCAGTTGCTGCCATCTCTTTCATTCAAATAAATTGTAAACTCGTCCGCGTGTTTTGAGTTTTCTTGGAAACAAGATGACCAACTCAGAGTAAGCCATAATTGTAGCTTATAAAATAGACTGTATTGATAGTGATGGAATTTGTATAACTGCATGTTGCAACTATGAGATGGTGGCAGAGAGGCAGAGAAGTCGACTTTGAACTTCCGTTTTGCCTGGTTTCAATTCGCTCAGTCGACAAGCTTTGTCTTAACCGTTAAATCCTTTCGATTAGAAATTTAGCCTTTCGATGCAACCAGCCAGCCATCTTCAATTCTCCTAGTATTTTGGTGCGATCTGCGATCATACAAAAATGAGTGTGTTGTAAGGTCTCGCTGTCAGACGCGACCGCATCCTTTGACTGCACTTCATTTGGATCCACCCAATGGCTGAATATCTAGTGCTATAATCAGCACAAGGTGTAACCTACTTTCAAATAACCTCGCAATTCTAGAAGCGGACTAGCCGTCTAATTCTATAGTAGCGGTACGTAAAACTATAATAAGGTACTCTCATCGATCCGATGTATTGATCGAACTGGCATCAGTCATCACCAGGGAACAGATAGTAAATTATGTCTGCGTACGTCGATTGGTGTTTTACCTGATTTAAGGAACGTTAGAATCTTTGTTAGTGAGACAATTAGTACTTTCGTTGTTTTATTCAAGTTATGTTTTAATTCTCCTCAGTAAAAACACAAACCCAGCCGCCTTGACTCCTAGTCTGATTTTCCTCTACTGTCTTCCAATCTTCTAGTTTTCTGATCCTTCTTTAGTTTAGAGGGTAAAAGAACGTATTTAATCCTACTTCGGTTTCCAGGGCAATCAGTTCTTATGCAACTTTCCTTCTTCCGTTCTGTGGAAGACGTATTGCTGAAAGACATATTGTGATGTCCGTTTTAATAGCGTTTCTGCGAGTCTGTTTACTGCTGCTCTTTTCCAAAGGATTTTTTCCGCTTCTTTCTCAGAGACTCCAGATCTGAATGGAACATCGCTAAAAACCTGCAAATGTAATGGTTAGCTTCTGGCCACTGGAGAGACTCTAATAAATATCAGTGGATTACGTGGGAAGAACAATGTTACTAATATTTAGTAGAAGTAATGGCTGTGGCTGAGCTTGTTTTATAAGTATGTATAGTCATCAATAGTACCTCAACGGGCAGACAACTGCCTAAATGATGAAAAAAGTATGAATGAATAAACTGTTAAGTACATGAAAGATATTGCTTAGAACAAGATTGATAAAAATTTGACATTTTTCGTTTATGTCCTTTATGGCACGCGTTTTGGATCAACTATTTTGCGTCATGTTATCTGTTATTTTGTACTATATATTTAATGTGATCAAAGTACAAGCAAATGCTTCGCGAAATCTTTTAAAGTTTTTCATAATAAGAATGTCAGTTGGAAGCCATTATTTACGTTTAGTTAATCATTAATTTATAAGCAGCTGTAATGTTCCTTGTTTTTAAATCAGTACTTTCAAAGCAGTGCTTTCGAATCAATATATCGATGGAACTCAGCGCTTATCGAGGTCGTGTCTATGCCTTTACTCAACATGATTCTGCCAGCTTTTCAAATAAAACACCGGACAGTTTGTTGAAGCTAAATTGTGAAATATTTCATTTTTAACAATCCATGATTAACATTGCTGTAGAAAATGTAGCTGTTTCGTTTCATAACTTACTTTACTTTCTTGCCGTTTGTTACATGGTTGACTGAACGAACTTCCGTTTAGGAAAGACGGACTTGTTGCTGGACACGCAGCACCCAGAAAGTTGGGCTAAAATAAGAGAAATCGAGAGCCGGCGACCGGAAGAGAAGATGGAGGTAGTCGAACAGCCGGTGCAGCCGAAGTTCATCGAACAGCTCAGTTCGTGCCCGGACATCATCGAGGGACAACCCGCCCACTTCGAAGCACTGTTAGAACCGTTCAACGATAGTAGCCTGAAAGTACTGTGGCTGCACAACAACAAACCTATTCAAGCCAGCAGTCGGATTGTTTATCGCTACGATTTCGGTATCGTCACGTTGGATATTCTTTACTGCTTCCCAGAGGACTCTGGTGAATACGTTTGCCGAGCTACGAACAAGCTTGGCACAGCCTCGAGCTCCGCAACCCTCCAGTGCGCAGGTAGGGCAGGAAAGAAACGTTTTCAAGTGCTTCTGCGGTAGATAATTGTCATAGTTAGATGATCCAATACCTGTTGTTTCTCTTATAGAGGGACCTAAACTATGTATTGCTATTTATTGCAAGACCTTAGCTCAAGGCTTTCAAAACCGAACGCTTGAGTCCGGAGAGGACTCATGCTTTTAAGCGCGTAATTCATTTGAAAGGAACAATTGGCTCACCTTATCCTGCTGCAGCGCAGCAAGCTGAAAGTAAATAGCAAGAACTCAATTGGTAGCCCTGAGAGCCAAAGCGTTCAATCTCGATTCTGAATTTGCATTCTAATGCATATAAAGGTAGTGCATTCGGCAGGGCTCAAGATTAGCACTGGAAGATCATAGATTCAGATGCCGTACGGATAGTCTCTTTAATAAGCAAATATTACTCTAGATTATGGAAATAGGTGCACTGTAATGGCTCCTAATCTGCAGATATTGCTTTAAATAAAGAAAATTGATCCCGTAGCGAATGGCATCATGACGGACATCACTGCCACATCATTACTGATAATACTCTGGCTCCATATGACAAATGATGGAAGCAAAACGAAAACCGACATCAAAATTGTACTTACCAATGGTGATGAGTTTATATGGGGTTCCAAAGATGAAGAAATTAAATTGGGAAGAGTCGCGAAGTTTAGAAGGGCATCGGTTTATTAATATACGGCTTTGCTGTTGACGCATACAGTGTACTGAGAAATCTCAAGTCACACGAATAAGGCGTGAGCGATCGCTCAGACAGAGACGAATTGAGAGAGGGAAAAGTTTGAGGTCGTCACAGCTGAATGAACACAGCGAATAACCGCCATACGCGATCAGTATTGCATGATTGCTTTTACTGCGCAGTACTACTGTTAAAATGTTTGCACCTCTGAGCCTTTGTGTCTTCACAGTTCCATTTTCCCACACCTGCAACTTTTCCAAAGTACCAATACCATTAGACACCTCCTAAGGATTCAAAGCGACAGTTTAACGGCGCAACGATTCAAAGAACTCACCATCAGAACTTCATGGTGCTAGACCGCGGTTGCTCAGTCAATACTCGGACTCACAACCGAGAGGTCCCAGGATTTAGCCGGTCAAATAATTAGCCTTCTTTCCCCACGAGGTTGACAAATTATTGCCACTTCTTTGGAAGAGGACAGGATACTGCACATTATGCATGCCACACAGCTTTAGACTCTATCTTTAAAATGAATCACTCTTGGCTGATGGCATAGAATTTGAAATCTGCGCTCAACCATTAACTTTATGATAATAGGAGGCATCAGAAATGGCATCATGAAATTGTAGGGACAGCCGATATTACAATAGTTAGAAACTTTCGTTTTCTTGCTTTTCTATTAGAATCCACGATGCAATTTATGCTCGTCATTCAAGTCGGAGGGGAGAGGTGGTGTTAATATACAAGCTTTACTTCTTCAGTGGTGACTCATAACCTTCAGATGCCAGGTTCAAGGTTCAGTCGCTCAATCCTTAAGGTGGGACTGAACTCTTTAAAAATTAAACACAACTGTGTATAGAAATTTAATTAATATTTATAATGCTTTAATTTAAAAACAGTGTTTATAATCGCTGGCAGCTTCCTTTGAATGGACGTCGGATGCAGATTTTTTTTCGTTGATTACCTACCATCTGAAGCATAAAGTTGCTTCTATTTGCACCATTATTCTGACATATGCGTAATGGAAATTTTTTTCGACTTTTACTCGGTGCAGAACATGGCAAGGGTTTATTGCGTTGATTGTACTGCTAAGGCAGGAGGACCTGCTAGCTTAAGTGAATTCTTTTTCAACAATGAGATGTTTAAACCATTCTTTTGTGGTTTTAGCGCGTTCTTCGATCTACCGCGACACGTTGCACCAAGAAAGCCTGAGGAAGATTGAGATGATCGAGGCACCGCGGGAGGCGCCTCCTGCGGTCGAAATGCCCACCTTCCAGAAACCTGTTTTTACTCAGTCATTGCAAAACATCGACTCGTTGCAGGAAGGTCAGACGGCGGTGTTCGAATGTCGGCTTATACCGATTAATGACCCGAAATTACAAGTTCAGTGGTACTTCAACGACAAGCCGCTGCAGTTCAGCAACCGCATCATGGCCACACAGGACTTTGGTTGCATCCAGCTAGTGCTGAAAGGCGTGATCGCCAGCGATAGCGGCGTTTACATGTGTCGGGCGATAAACGACCTCGGAGAATCCGTGAACACCGCCTCACTTGTGGTCGAAGGTAACAACCACGGTTTTGCCTATTAAACATGAAAGATTGCCTAGTTCCAAAAGTAAACAAGTTACACGCTTGGCATAAGAACTAATACCATTTTAATTAACGCACTTATTAGCCATTTCAACTGTTAATTAAAAGGTGAAATTACGTTCCTTAGATGCATTATATTTAAAACTGATATGTCTGATGACTCTGGTCAGCCTGATAGGGAACCATTTTTTCACTGTTTGTTTTATTTTGTTCTATTTATTCATTTGCCATGTCCTGGTATTGGTAATTTATCTTGTGCCGTAGGGTTCACTTAAATAAATTTGACTGATTGACTGATCGTTAGGAATGGTTCAAGAAAATGTCATCATTTAGAGAATGCACTTAACTAACACCGTCTTCTCATCGCCGCTGCTTGGTTTATTTACATACGACTTTATAACACTCTCCACATTTCTCCGTATAGTCCTTCACTGTTTTCAAAATTAAAGTGCAAGTTTTTTTCAAATGGTGTTTTGCATTTCACGCCCTAACAGGTCGTGACGATGACAATATTCTACAGAGTGAAGTATTTTTTACCAGGTTTTGGAGTGAATAAATCATTAAAATCGTTTTAAATGAATGAAAAGTAAAATGAGATTTCGATTGTGATTTTGGCTAATGATGACAGATTTCGTGACATTTATTCAGAGTATTACTTCATGTCATCAAATGATGTTATCTTCGGTTTTCTCATAACTGAAGAAACCGCCGCGGACCGTAAGGGAAACATCATATGAACGTGGACGCGTGTATCCCCTCGTTTC